GAAAAATAATCTGCAAGCAAAGGAGAAACTCATAATATATCGGATAAGATGAAATATTTAAAATGAAAACTTACACAATCGTTTTTAATATGAAATCCAGTAAATTTTGGCGCAGTTACAATTTTTTCGTGTTTCAACATATTCATTATTTGTTGCAATGTTTGAGTTGGTTTTTTAACGTATGATTTTGGCATTTGAAATCAATTTTCAAAATGGTAAGCCGAGTAATTTGAAGGTACACCTAGTTCTTTAACATCTTCGTGAACATGAAGTAAGTCATGTACATTGTAGAAAACAATATTGTCCCCAAAAATTACTGGAAAACTTTCCACAAATAATTTTAGCATATTTCTCCCCACATCAATGTTAGAAGCATAATGTTTTGGGCTGAAAAATAATCTGCAAGCAAAGGAGAAACTCATATATATCTCGTTAGGAATTTCATCTTTTAAAACATAAATGCCGTAATAGAGGCGAAACATGCGGAATTCGGTAGCTTTCCAATTTAAAATTTCATCCTCACATCCTCTCCACTTTCGACAACTCTAGCAATGGGCGCAGACGCACTAATCTGCGCATTTTCACTTAACAATTTCGCTATTTTGATGCCATATGTCGTCATGCTTTTTTGAATACCCACAGATTTAATTGAGCTTATCTGAAATTATATTTTTATATGCAACGCTGTAATGGGAAATTTTATAAACTATATTTTAATACGGTATTGTTATTTTTATCCTTAGTAGATGAAAAATTTTAATTTTAAAACTTTACTAAAATATCGATTTTCTTCTGCTTAGAAAGGTCTACATTAAAATACTATATTTTACCAAATAACCCAATAAATTAAAAACAAATAAATATGCTATAGTCTCCAAAATAGTGTCAAATATTGCTAGAACTTGTAATTTAATCTAAAAAAGTGCTAATAAACGCGTGGTATATTTTTAAATGTGTATGATGCCATATGACATCACTAATATTTGAAGGAGCTGAAATCCGCACCAGCAAATAACGATATATTTGTATTGGGAAATTGCAACTGGTAAATTTTTTAAATGAATTATTAAATCTGTGGATGTTCCAACTTATTTTGTTAAATTTTTGTGGTGTTATTTATTTTGATTTGAATAAAATAAAATACCATATTAAAAATTCTTTGCATATTTTTTACACCAGTTAGTACAAATGATGCCATATGGCATCATTCCAAAAAACACTTTAGAATCGCATTTTGGAAAAAAATTAAATTGAATGTTATTATATTATGTATTAAGGATCATTCAATAAAAAAATTGGATTTTTAAAGCCCGAATCTAAAAAGATGTACCGAAAGGGTCAACCTCAACATTTCACGGTTCTTTTCCCATTCTTTACGAACCAATCTTCTAAGATGACGCTTACTTACCTTATTCATATTGTTATATAATATATCCGGCGTTTCTCGATGTGGGTTCTCCCTTTTTTATTAATTAAATTTAATTATTTGCAAAACACTTGAATCTCTATTCTATCTATCTATATTAAACTATTAATGTTAATTCTTATTAAAAAGGGAAAGAATTTACTTATCTTTCTGTGATTATTTCTTTTAAATAATTAACTTTTGTTATAAAACCTCCAATTGTACCCGTAGGGGATGAGTCGAGACTAATTGATCTCCAATAATACCCGTTTGAGACTAGTTGCGACTAATTAATGCCCAATTGTACCCGATTGAGACTCATTCCCGAATACTCTCTTTAGAGATTAGTCGCACAATTTTTTGCAGGGTATGTTTGTATATGTACATATGTTTGTGTACATGTATATATGCACATATGTAGTACAAACGGATAACTCAGCCGAAATAGGAAAGTGGCGTTATAAATGTAAGCCGAAACTATGAAATTGTAAAATGAGATTTTTGTTCGTTATGTTTGTGGGCAAAACGTCCAACTTGATTCCGGATTGATTTGAAACAACGTTTTCGGCTTTCATTATGTCAAATGGATGTGTTTGTTGTAATTCATTCGGTCATTTACTACCATTATGCGTAGGCCAGTGGCGTAGCCAAGATTTGGCTTTGGGGGGGATGAAAAAAAAATTTCCATCCATAACTTAAATCTGTGACACACAATGGCTAGAGGCGTCGCCTGAGTGCATTCTTTCATATATTTATGTATGTGCCAGTTTTACCGTTATTTATTTTTTATCTACTCGTTTATTCCATGGGGTCTTCATGCTTTATTTAAATTTTAAAATTAAATTACTATACCGTTTTAAAAATCTGAAAATTCACTGCGCGAAATTTGTTTATTCTCTTTTTGTATTCGCCTTCTCATGTTTGCCTTTATAAGTTTTGAAAAAAGGTTTTGAACGAACCATTATATCACATTCCTAGGCAAGTTTTGAAAGAATGTTTTCGTTACTAAATTTTATTAAAACAAAATGTTGAAATCAGCTTCATATAGAAACAGTGTAATCACTAATTAAGAAAGAGATGTTCTCAAATATCATAACTATACGATACCCACATATTGACTCGATTTGACAATTTATTTTACTATATTTTAATTTGAATTATTTGTTTATAAAAATATAGTTTATTCCTTAACAAACACTAAATGAAAATAAATTTAATCTTTGACCAACATGAAAAAAAATCGACAAGCTTTCGTAAAAATTTCGAACTTTCTATTTAAATTTTATCTGTTAATATTTTGAAGTTTTTTTTATTATTATTATTATTATTTATTTGTTTATAGTAGAAAAAGTAAAACAGTAAATCTTATTGTTATCACCATTCTTAAGGAATATGGCACTGCCTTAATTCTAGATTGTTCTTAATTGTGAAAATAAGACTTGAAGATAAGAAAAACTTTTGCAGTTTTGTAGCTCATTCAATTTTAGTCTAATAAAGTGCAAATTTAAAGAAGCTGTAATTTACAGTTGATGTATGGCATATTTTTGACGATGTCGGGAATTTTCTTTCATATTATCTAAGTATGTTCGACGATTTTTTTAATGAAGAAAATGAGCAACGCCTTCATCAAAAAAATATATATATATATATATATTAAAAATCAACGATAAGTCGCAGCTATGTATTTTAAACTTGCGCTTTATTTGAATTGATCGGGCTACAAAACTGCATACTCAAAATATGTATTTCTAGGAAATCTAATTAAAAAGCGTTACGCAAGTTTGTTGATTTTTTTAATGTTGCGAAAAGATTAAACTTTGGATTTATACGGGTTTTGTTGAAGTCTAAACTGCATTTTTATAAACAAATAATTGAAAGTATATAATTTTAAGATAAATGACGAATCTAGTTAACATGTATAAAGTTTTGATAAGCACTTGAAATGTCAAGTTTTAGTACTGGATTCAAAGAATATGTCTCTTTTATCCATTCATAATAACTTAAAAAAATTTGTTTGTTAAG